TATTCTATATTCTATATTCTATATTCTATATTCTATATTCTATATTCTATATTCTACATTCCATTCCATATTCTATTCTATTCTATTCTATATTCTATATTCTATATCCTGTATCCTATATTCTATATTCTATATTCTATATTCTGTTCTATTCTATTCTGTATTCTGTATTCTGTATTCTGTATGCTGTATGCTGTATGCTGTATGCTGTATGCTGTATTCTATATTCTGTTCTGTTCTATTCTATTCTATATTCCATTCCATTCCATTCTACATTCTATTCTATTCTATTTTCTATGTTCTATTCTATTCTATATTCCATTCCATTCTATATATTATATTATATTATATTATATTATATTATATTATATTACATTATAATTCTATTCTATTCCATTCTATTCCATTCTATATTCTATATTCTACATTCCACATTCCATTCCATTCCATATTCTATTCTATTCTATTCTATATTCTATATTCTGTTCTATTCTATTGTGTATTCTGTATGCTGTATGCTGTATGCTGTATTCTATATTCTGTTCTGTTCTATTCTGTATTCTGTATTCTATTCTGTTCTATCACCCCTAGTCGTTCTTTTCATTCAACTAGACAAGGCCAATTCCTGCCACCGTTCTTCATATGTCTCAATTTTCCATGAAGTCAATGACTTGACTTTCTCCAGCCCATCATCACCTCTTGCGTTTTGGGGACAAGGCACCGATGTGGGATTTGTTCAGTGTTACATTTCTTTTCCTGGGATCATCTACGGAACACGTGAGCTGGCTTCTCCTTGTTTCCCACAGGGCCATGATGGCTTCAGCCAGGCATTCTAGAGACGGTTCCTTGGACTCTATGGGGATAAAGGGAGCACCTTTGCACACCCTTCCAGCGTGGCAAATTGATCTCATCTCCCCAGACCAGCTTTCTTGATCCCTCGCCTGCCTTCCGTGCCTGCACTCACATGATTCCTGCAGAACCTGGCAAGCGGGATGAAGATTCAAAGCAGAGCATGGGCAGAGATGGAATGCGATGAGTCAGGGTCATCTTGGAGGAGTTCCCTTGGGTAAGATTCAAAAAAAGGATCGCTGGAAATAATTGCACTTCAAGGATGGACCTCGTTCATTGCATTTTGTGGCAGAGAAGCTAGTTACGGACGTCCTCTCTGGCTTTGACAACATCTCTCGATGATTCCTACCAGTGGAATGTGAATGAAGACCATTGATTACTTCCTTCAAACTCCTTTTCCCTCCGTCAAAATATTCCCTCAATTGCAAGATCTCCATCCTTGAAAACTTTTAAGACTTGTGGATTTCAGCTCCCGGAATTCCCCAGCCAGACAGACAACTCCCAGAATTCCCTGTGCTGGCTGGGGAATTCTGGGAATCGAAGTCCACAAGTCTTCAGGTCACCAAGGCTGGCGTGCCCTGCTCTACTGGAACCCATAAAACCGAGCACTGGACTTCCTCTCATCTTCTTCTGACAATCATCGATTTTGCACAAAACAGACTGTGAAGGTTGGGAGAGGATGAGCGACGATGAGCTTCCAACCTCAGAGCTTCCTCTCCAAGATTTTTTTTTTCTGAGTGGAGATGCACAGCATCTTCTGTTCTTGGCCCAAGCTCTGTTGGGTTCAGGATTGGGACCTCAGCTATGTTAAATGGGAATCCGTGTGTTCTGAAACAGACAACTGAAAGAGATGACAGACGGACTGATCGGGAATTTCCTTCCTTCCTTCCTTCCTTCCTTCCTTCCTTCCTTCCTTCCTTCCTTCCTTCCTTCGTTGGAGCTGCCTAAGGAACGAGTTCGTTAACGATGGAAAGTACTTTTCACACACCTAAAGACTGGATTGTTTGGATTCACCCGTCATGCTAAACCATAGTTTGCTTTAATAGTGGTTTGTCGCGAGGCACGAAGGACAATATCTAACTTCAAACACGACACTAAAACCAGCTCAAATAAACCATACTGTGTTTTCATGTGTTGGGTGAGTTGCTGCGCAATGTTGACAAATGTTTTATTGTTTGGAATCCTTGGTGGTCTCTGAGCTTGGTTGTTTTCTTGCAGATGTTTCATGATCCAACTAGGGAACATCATCAGTGCTAGAAGGGAGGGGAGGAGGAGGAGGAGGGGGGAGAGGAGGAGGAAGAGCGGGAGGAGGAGGACTGTGGGGTCCTTGGTGCTCTCTGAGCTTGGTTGTTTTCTTGCAGACGTTTCGTGACCCAACTGGGGAACATCATCAGTGCTAGAAGGGAGAGGGAGTCTGCTTTCTGTTTATACACAGCTGGCTTGCCCTGTCAGTGTTGGTGGGAGTGGCCTAGATTGTTCCTTGATTAGGTTATTGTTTACTGTTAATTTGTTTATGTGAGTCGGTAGCTCCCTATTGGGGTGTCGTCTGTGGCTTGCTTGTTGGTCTAGTGTTAATCTTGACGTTCATCTCTTTTTATCTGGGTGTTGGTTACTGGCAAGGAGATGGTTTGATCTCTCAGTTCCTTCTGGGTTTCTTGATTGGTATGTAGATGTGCTTATCTCTATGTGACTGATTGGTAACGAAATGTCTGCAAGGAAACCACCAAGCTCAGAGAGCACCAAGGACCCCACAGTCCTCCTCCTCCCGCTCTTCCTCCTCCTCTCCCCCCTCCTCCTCCTCCTCCCCTCCCTTCTAGCACTGATGATGTTCCCTAGTTGGGTCACGAATCGTCTGCAAGAAAACCACCAAGCTCAGAGAGCACCAAGGACCCCACAGTCCTCCTCCTCCTCCTCCTCCTCCTCCCTTCTAGCTCTGATGATGTTCCCTAGTTGGGTCACGAAACGTCTGCAAGAAAACCACCAGGCTCAGAGAGCACCAAGGACCCCACAGTTCTCCTTCTCCTCCTCCTCCTCCTCCCTTCTCCCTCCTCCTCCTCCTCCCTTCTAGCTCTGATGATGTTCCCTAGTTGGGTCACGAAACGTCTGCAAGAAAACCACCAGGCTCAGAGAGCACCAAGGACCCCACAGT